CCTCAGTAAGAGCATTGAAGATGGGTCGTGGCTGGGTCTTCCAGCATGACAATGACCCCAAACACACAGCCAGGGCGACTAAGGAGTGGCTCTGTAAGAAGCATTTCAAGGTCCTGGAGTGGCCTAGCCAGTCTCCAGACCTGAACCCAATAGAAAATCTATGGAGGGAGCTGAAACTCCGTGTTGCCCAGCGACAGCCCCAAACCCTGAAAGATCTGGAGAAGACCTGTATGGAGGAGTGGGCCAAAATCCCTGCTGCAGTGTGTGCAAACCTGGTCAAGAACTACAGGAAACATCTGACCTCTGTAATTGTAAACAAAGGTTTCGGTACCAAATATTAAGTTCAATTTTTCTATTGTATCAAATCCTTATTTCATGCAATAAAATGGAAATAAATTATGTAAAAATCTAACAATGTGATTTTCTGGAATTTTTTTGTAGATTCTGTCTCTCACAGTTGAGGTGTACCTACGATGAAAACTACAGATCTGCCCATTCTTTGTAAGTGGGAAAACTTGAAAAATCGGCGGTGTATCAAATACTTATTTGCCCCACTGTATATGATGTGCCAAGATGTGATATTCTCACTGCAAAAGCAATACACGTGAATATTCAACTTTTCATTCTGCTTCGGCAGCACTGCTTTGTGCCCTCTAAAACAGCTCCGAACAGTCACCGAAATAGTTGTAAAACAGAAAGGAAAAACTTTTTTCTTTAAAACTCCATGTTATTTCCCAATATACAGTGAGCTGTATTTACAACTTTAAAATATATCATATGTACAAAGTGATATGATCCTTTGTGTGGAGAGGATCTGGATGAAAATATGGTCTTATACGTGTATAGTGCTTTTCTATACATTGCAGACTCAATGTTGCACACTCAAAGCACTTTCACACTATTTGGCCATTCATCCATTCGCACTCCCAAACTAACATATTCACACACCGGTGACATCAGTGGGAGCCACTTGGGGTTCAGTGTTTTGCTCAAGGACACATGACAGGAATCGAACCACTCATCTTCTGGTGAGAAGACAACCCGCTCTACCTCCTGCACCACAGCTACCCCCAAAACATTGTATCACAAGCACCAAAGTGCACTGAGCTAAAAACAACATTAGACTCACACTTCAGCAAAACCACATACTTCTTTCTGCTTTACCTATTAGGAACAGGAGTAAAACAAGATTGGACTGGGTCATTGCTGGAATGGTATTTCCTGTTCCCGCGTTGATCGTACTCACTTCCTGCATTAACTGTACTCACTTCCTGTTTACTGTGCCTGTGCAGTGTTGTGCTGGCTACCAGATTGTTTACAGATTAAGCTCACTATTTTCTAGGTTTATCTGAATTTATGAGTTGACAACATATGCCTGCACTACTTATGCACCTGTGTTACATCAGTTCTTGCTAATTACGAAATTTAACTTGCTACTTTAGGTTTCTTCCATTAAGGGAGTTGTTCTTCCCCGCTGTTTCACCAAGTGCTTTCTCAAGGGGGATTTGTTGGGTTTTTTTCTATAATAATAGTGCTAATAGTAAGGTCTAGACCTTACTTTGTAAAGTGTCCTGAGATTACTTTTGCTGTGATTTGGCGCTATACAAATAAATTTGAATTGAAATGCAAAGGCAAAGGGTAAGGGTAAGCATAAAATGGTTATACCACTATTCCCAATTAATAAAGACAGCAAGCAAAACCACCTGGTTCCTGAAGGCTCTCAGGGACCAGTGACTGACTAGCTGCTTCTATTGCTTCAGATAAGCTTGAAAAGAACTTGTACAAGTCACACAGCACAGACACACATGCAGAACTGCCTTAAAAGTGAAGAGAAGAAATAAAGTGTCAGTTTGCAATTAGGCAGTTGTCTAGTTTTCAAGTACCAGACTCATACCATTAATAAATGCTTCCATACAATTTTATTTCATAGTAGTGTTTGTATCTATTGTTTTTGAGTTGCAATTCTAACAGAAGTTAAAACTCATTTTGCTGTCTATGTTTTCGTTCTGTTATTGTTAAAAAAAAAAAAAAAAAAAACTATTTTAAACATCAACCTTGCAAGTTGAAGAATGTCTCTAATATTGAAGTTTATACTTCTATTCAAGTGAGTTCTCATGCAAAAATAATGCAGATGAAACAAACATAACTATCTCCTACTAGGTCACTATTTCCAAAAATTAGACAGAAATAGAGTTCTCACCAGCAGCTCCACTCCAAACCAGATTCCAGATGGGGCCCTGTCAGGAAGAAGCGAGCCCTTGAAGCGGACCACACCAGGAAGAGGTTCATCCCCTATCCGCAGCTGGACGTGCACCTTGGAACCACAGTCAATATCACGGACACGTTCTAGGCGTAACTTGTTGTGGAGCAGGGCATATCTCTCTTCACAGTTGGTAATGGGGAAAAGCAGCTCAGCCAGTTTCTCATCCAGCTCCAAGACATCTCGTTCATCCAGGCTCAGCACCACATTGGTCTGGTCCAGTATGCGGAGACTCTTCTTGCCTTTGCATGGGGGCAGTGTTCGCCCCAAGCTGTTGCGCTCCTGACAAGCCTGACCAAGGCTACCACGTGGGATCCTCAGAGTCTTCTGTGGAGGCTTCTCCACAGTACACTCCTTCACAACCATGTAGAAGCGCGAGTCCTCCCTAAAGCCCCCACTGGGCTTCTCCTGGCTCCACAGGGCAGAGCTCATGGCTGCATGCTACGCAGGAGGTCCAACATCAAGGCAAGCTTGACCTGTGGTCCATTGCAAAAAATAACACAAATAACCATCTCTAAAAAACTATCAAGTTATTCAAATTATCAATTATCAAGCCTATGTAGGCCAAGACACAAACAGACATGCACAACTGAAATAATAAGAGCAAGAGTGGTTAGTAAAATGTTAAAATATTTTATATTTATTACAATTAAATTTTTCATTAAAGGAAAGTTACAAAAATGTCTGTGTATGTCTGCCAATTGCAGTTCTTAGAAAGAAAGAAAATGAAATTGGCCAAAATTGGAATTAGCAGGTCAGACTTTGAAAAAAATCTGAAACCGGAATTGGCCAAGGAAATTGCAATTAGTGCATCTCTAATTTATGACAATTTCACCAAAAACTGAAACATTTTGAACTTCATAAACACAGATGTTAAGACGGAAGTGTTGACCTGTATTGCATACACTTACACAGGTGTGCCTAATAAAGTGGCTGATGATTGTATATTGTCAAAAAAGATGAATTTTTGGACAACTCCAGAACATACAGTGTGAATAAATGTGGCATTTCCAACATAGTGTATTTCCCTTAATTTGACTCTATGCAGTAAAATTTAGCTGGTTAAGTTACTTTTATATGTGGATGGCACATTAGTCCTAATCTCCAATTCAGAACAATCTATTTCTTAATTTTAGTGCATTAATTTATTTTTCAAGGTATCTGGTTACAATGTAAACTGGGCTAAATCTGAGGTGCTTTCTCTTACTATATATTGCCCCAGACCTTTATTTCAGATGGATCGTTTAAATGGCCTAAAGCGGGCATGAAGTATTTAGGTGTCTTATTGGACACTATAATTTGAACAACTTGAAATAGACACTTTGAGATGGTCTACCCTGTCTTTTTCTTTATATGGTGAGGAGAATGCTCTACAATTGTTGGCTGCACAAAAAAATGGACTTTTATGTTTTTTTGCAAGCATTCCCTATAAATATACAATAGCAATACTTTAAATTATCTAACAATATTTGTAAATCATTTCTATGGAATGGTTAAAAAAAACTGAATAAAGTTAATGAAACTGTTAATGAAAGTTAAATGAAACATGTGGACCAGGTCAGGACTGGTATACCAAGACATTTGGTTTCTTCCTCCAGAATGTGCTCCTCCTTGGTTCCTAATTGAAAAATCTTTGTGACCCTCTACAGCCAATTCACTTTAACTTCAGAGGGAAAGTTACAGCTTGGTATATCATACTTGCAAGATATATGAATAAAGATAAGTAGTTTATTAAAATTCAATCCCTGTTTACACAGTTCTGCCTCTATTTAGCAGAACTGTAAATTGCAGGTCGGTAATCAAGCTATTACTGTTCACATTTGGTCTGTATTATTATCAGATATCTGTAAAGCACTTTGGGTTGCATTTACCTTTGTAAATAAGTGCTATAGAAATAAACGCTGATTGGTAATTTTTCATACAAAAATCTCTGGTGCAGTTTGCTTGGAGTGGTCGGCTGTATGAAATGTAATGGCCAATGATGGCGTTAGTGGTGTGCTCCCAATCTCACCAGGCAGTTTTTTTTAGAAGCACCGCATGTGACATATCTACTGATTTAAATATTCTAAGAATAGATGGCGAGCAGACAGTTTACTTATTCTGAGACCCAGGGCAACGCGACGATCAGACGAATGGATTTCCCCTGATGACACCTCTGATATCAACCAACCGACACAGCCAAGAACCGGCAATTGTTTCAAGCATGACAAGACTGACTTGGTTATTAGACTGTTTTCAATACATGATTAACATCTGCGTAACAGCATATAATCATTAATAACGTTAACGTTATGCAAATGGCGAACACGGTTACAAAACATGTAGAACATTTTAGGTAATCAACCTGACATGGGTTATCGCTCAGCTGATTTTACATGCGACAACCGCATTGTTTAGTACAGTTTTATTTATTCCAATGTCGTCGTTACTGACAGCAATATCATGACTCGTCTAATTAACATTTCCCCTGACAACCAGAGCAGAAGAATGCAATCACCAAGTAAAACCTGTCAGTCATGGGCCCATTAAGAAGGGAAGTAGCTAACGTACCATAAAATGCACCAAATAGTCATTTACATTCAATGCTAACTACATGGACGCCTTACCTTTGATACACGTCAGTTCAGTTAGACGCTACAGATGACTGTCATTTCAGATGTCCGCCCAATTAGACAACAGGCCTCTTAAAACAAGATGTATTCCTCCCGTAATAACCTCTGATTAGCTAGATGGCTAGCTAATGCTAGATCCCTAACCAACTAAGTATCACGCTGAAGTTAGCCTAGCGAGCTGGTCAGCAGCAAGCAGGCTGGCAGAGGCCTGCCACCCTCTACACAATTCTATCAACATTTAGATACATCTGTTTTCCATGGGAAATACGTGAAATAATACAACGTATGGCTACAATTATGAGATATATTATTTAGCTACAGGAGACGACCTCAACAAACATGGTGCATGACGTCATTCTATTCCTTATAAAGCATTGGCCATTGTCTTCGTTCGCAAACGCCGATTGGCTGTTTCTCGTCTCTGTATAGACTCCAGCTCTGTGGGGTTTTCCCATGGATTGCGGAATACATAGTTAGGTTGACGTATTGAGTCCAGGGCAGATGATGCTGGTGAACTTCAGGTAGTGGTGTAACACATATTTACTGTAGAATATTTACTTACATTAAATTGTAGGTATACTCTAAAACAGTTAAGCACTCTTTTTACCTAATTAAGACTAAATAAATATTATTATCAGCAACATGTAGGTAATTTAGCATTAAAAGTAAAAGTGCTCAATATGCTTCTTTCGTATTATATAATGTTACTATATATGTCATATTATTGGATTAATTATTAATGATGCTGTTGGGTTTTCTGCATCATTCGCCATAATACACAGGGATTACACTGTATAGTTCTCACGGTTCAAGTTTATTTCGCCTTCACAGCACAACTGGTAACACTCCATCAGTCGCCGTGGGATAAGTACAAGAGAGAGAATTCCCCAGTCAGTAGTTGTATATAAACTGTCGAAAAGAAAAACAAGTGTCGTAAAAAGAAACAAACTAGAGCTACGACATATACACAGGAATTTGTTACATAGCAAAAAACACACAATTTAACAGGGCTGCTTACCAAAATAAAATAACATGTCTGTCTCTATCAAGAACACAGCTCAACAGATGCATTTATACTCTTTGTAAGAATGTCAGTGTAATAGTTCTACTGTTGGGACATTTAATAGCCTATATAACACTGTATCATTTTTTCAAAGATAATCATACAATGTTTCCATTTTTGGAAGGTAACATGTCTGCTGGTGTTTGAGAGACAACAGGAGCATCAGGACTAAGGGTCTCATTCTCATCAGAGAAGGAGGCATCATAATAAGGGCCCTCCTCTGTCTCAGACACATTCTCCTCTATGTCAGTTTTACTGTCAAATAGCAGTGACAAAACCTTACTGATAGAAAATCTTTTCTTGGATGCCATTTTCAACTGGGAGAGAGCATTAAGCGAAAGCACACAGAGAACTAAGAGAAATTGTTTAGAAGGCTGCTGTGTAAGGCTATGTATGTTTGGTCATCCACTGAAGTACCAGTGTCCTCAAGGGGAACATATGTCCCCACCCCCACATTGTGCGAACTATCACAGTTTTCATGGGTATTGTGGGTATTACATGTTCCCTCCCCACATCGTGTGAACTATCAGTCGCTCTCGCACTACTACATATATATAGTTAGGTAGATTAGGGCACTAAAGTAGAGGGATGTTTTTTGAAGATTATAAAATTGCATGTCATAGTGACCTCAATATCATCATAAACAACCAAAAAATGTGTGATACTTGATACTTCTTATATGTTTAATAAAGCTAAAACAGCCTAGAGTCAAATTGATGCCAAAGAACACCGACGTGTAGAAAATGCATAGAGGACACTGAAAATATAAAATCATGTTACTTTTATGTTTACCCAGTTATCCCCATTAAATTAGGATGTCAACCATTTATTTAGAGCTGTTAAACATAGAACAGGGTCAAATTGACCCCAAGGATAATAGGAGGGTTAATAATCTGCCAACTTGTAACTAAATAAATGTAGCATGTACTGTACAATATTTCCCTATAAATACAGTGAAGTAGAAGCAGGCCCTTTAGCAGAAGATTAAGTAACTTGTACATTTGGTTAATTATTTTCCACTATTGTCTACAGACAACCTTTCTCAGTTATGACATCTTTTTAGGCAAGATTTGTACAAACTTTGTTGTTATTGTTATTAGTAGTAGCTTTATATAGTTGTGGTATACAGTATGTGTTATGGGGTTATGGGAACCCATCACCACCTACACCTACAAAGAGAAAACATGTTTTACATTTTATATTTTAATACAAAATATTTCCTATAAGTCAGTCAGAAGAAAATCAGAAGAACAGTCTTGATTCACGTTGTGTCATGTCCTCTACCTCCTCCAAGCTGAGGTTATTGTTTTGCAACCTACATTGCATTAAAACAAGAAGAGAAAAGAAAAGAAACTAAAATCAAATAAATGACAATGGACAGCCAGTTTGGAAACATAAGGGAAAATAGAGAAGTCAAAATAGCATTCTAGTTTAGGAAAAATAATGCAGTGTTCACAGCAACAGGGTTCATGGCACTGAAACTAGCAGCATGGTCATGCATTGCCCCAAATTCAAAATGCAAACAACCACCAAGAGCAGGTAGGGTTCGAATCACATGAGAAACAGTGGCAACCTTTGTGTTTGCCAGTGTATGGCTCAGTGTAGCTCACATACCATATTGATTTCACATGAGTATTGTGTTGGAGGGCTTGAATCAGACATTCCACTCCTGCTCTGGTTATGCAGTTCTCTGTTAACCTTTTAGAGGAAATGAGAAGGTGGAACAATTTAAGCACTATACAGTACAATGAAATCTGAATTGTCAAATCACCCATCCGGTTAATACAAATGTCACATGTTTTGTCAGTACAAGTTGTCTTTAATACTTACCAAAGGTGTTCCAGTGACGTGCTGTTTTTGACAATTTTGGCAAGGGCACATGCTCCTGCAGTCCCTACACCATTACCTACAAGGCTTCAATTAAATAAAATTGAAGTTATACTCAAGTATAAGTCCACAGCTGCAGCATGTACTGCTAATAAGCAAAAAGTACAGAGATGTATATCTGGAAACTTATAAAAACATATTTTAAAAATATGTTCTATAATACATAGCCTATGTACATGCATATTTGAACACCTATTTAATATATTCATATTTGTCATACAAATATGATCATTTGTTATATATTGTCCATACTTTCTTTAAGTTTACCTAATAAGAGATAAAATTTAAAGCAAATATTACCTAAGCCACACCAGGGATTTGCTGTACTCTAGGGCACTAGCCAGGGCCTCTGCTCCTGCATCACCTATCTTATTTCCCCAAAGCCTGGAAAATATTAAAAAACTCAGAAAATGGAAATGGATTCTCACTAAGATACATGCATGTTTGCAGGGAAAAACATTACCCTAAATACTGCAGAGAGTGATTGAATTTCAGTCCCTCAGCCAGCTGCTTTGCTCCTTCTGCTGTTATATTATTGTTGCCTAACCTGAAAGAAAATAGAGAAGTTAATTTGCTACTGCCTGTATACCACACAGACCTAGTTATTAGTGTAGTCCCATATTAGTCACATCCGATGACTGCTTAAAATGTTGTACATTCTGACCTTAAAGAAAGGAAATCCTGCCTGGTCTTCAGAAGATGAGAAAATTGCTGTGTGCAAGCATCAGTTAGCTTGTTGTTGAATAGTCTAGAGAGAAATAAAATGTTTATGCAAGGTCAAATGTCAAGATCAACAAGATCAGACTTCATAATAGTCGTATTAATCATCTTGACAGTACGTACGCAATTTTCCGGAAGTTGTCACACTGGATACCTTTAGCAATTAGTTTGCGGATGCCCTCATCTGTAATGTTGTTATTTCTGAGGCTGATACAGGGAATAGGACACTTGGGTTATAGTAAATGTTAACTTTAATGATGGTTTCATAAAACTAAATGTACTTTGAATTTAGATTTGTCATACTCACTGCAAGGAATTACAAACATGCATGCAAGGAAGAAGCTGCTCCACACCAACATCACCAACAGAGTTGTTGTCCAGCTGGAGGCCTACAGGGGTTCTTAAATGCTGGAGCACATAAGATAGTGCAGTGCACTCTACAGGCCCAATGTTACAGTAGGTCAGTTTCAGGTGGTCTATCTCTAGCTTACTCATAGCATTGTTGGCAATTCTGCTCTCCTGCATCTCATAGATGCATTTGATAAGCCAGAGAAAGCCAGGCATTGCATGCATGCTCTTAGCTTCTCCCTCTACAGGTTGAGGGATGGACTTAAAGTGTTTCTGCATGCCTTTGGACAGGCATCTCACCACTTGTCTGGCCTTCTTTTCCATCACCGCACTGGGGCAGCAGTGGAGCCACAGGCTTCGATGACGCTGGGACAGAAGTCCAGACACAAAGGTGGCAATCATTTGCAGATCTGATGTTTTAGCTGCTGTATCTTCCCCCACTACATCCTGCTTCTGTTGGTCAGTGGAGGGCAAGCAGGCCCCAAAGCATGATGTACTCAGGCCTGTCTCTCTCATGTCCTGCATCTCAAAGAGCTTAGGTATTGTTGGACCATCAATGTTACCTGACAAAACTATGTACAATGCTGCAAAAAAGCACTGTATGGTCACATGAAGGAATTCATAGTGTGCAGAGGATGTATCTTTGATTTGTATGAGAAAGCCTATGCAGATATCCTGTTCAGTTACACCACAAGCATCCAGCTCAATACCTGAAAAAATGTAACACGTGCTTCCTATGCCCTCAAAGGCAAGCTGTCCAAGATGCAAAACTGTTTTTAGGTTCTCATGTAGCCAGCCTAACCCTATGGTGCTCTTTGATAGACTTTTGTGCTGTAAAAAATGTTGCAAGATCATCAGGTAAACATCTGTGATGGTTTGTGGGCTGCCTTCTCCGCAGCCCAGCAGCTCCTTATGGCACTGTGAGACAATCCAGCAGAGGACTGGATTATGGCACAGCCCAAGTAAAGCTGTATTTGTCTGTAGGGACTCCAAAACCTTAGCAGCCACAGTAGAGTCATTGTGATGTTTCCTCACAAAACAATCAATCCCACTTGGGGAAAAGCCTTTCAGGAGGACCTCTTTGGAAAGGTGTTTCTTCAGCAAAGGTCCAACTGCTTCTGGCCGACTAGTGACCACTTTTTGCACCCCCTTCATTAGAGAACCCTGGATTAAATTGAACAATAGTGTGTGAACAGGTGCATGCTGGGTGGGGCAGCAGAGTCTGTGCTCATCTGAAAAGCTCTGCTTGAGCTCATCCAGGCCATCAAATGTGAAGAGGATGAGATGTGGGTGGTCCAGGATAAACTGGAAAATTTGTTCCTGCTCCCTGTCTGGCCAGCAGCAGTGCTGAAACAGCAACTCTTGGACAGACAGTTCCTTGTGCTCTGAATTCAACTTACGACAGCTGAACGGGAATAGAAGGAGAAAGTCCTGGAGGGCTGCTCCCTGAGCCCAAAGTAAGTGTAACCTCTGGAGAAGAGTGCTCTTCCCACTGCCTGCCTCCCCAGATACTAGCACTGTGTCAGCCTCTTTATTCACTGTACCCAGCGTCCCAACTATGTCCTCCAGGCCCAAAGGTGTGTGGAGGTCAGTACACTTGTGAGCTAGTTCTAGTTGGCCTTCAGTGTAGATGTCATCCAGAGACATGTGGCTGGTCCCTCCATAAGTACTGAGAAAGCAGGACTGGGCGGATACAGAACTGCTCAGCTTTTTCTGATACTTTAAGAACTCTGTAACAGAAAGCACACACAAGATAAACCTCAATACACAGCAGTGTAAAATCATAGTGTATACTTGTATATAAATGCAAATGCTGACTACTGTTTTCACGTTTTTGCACACAAAATCTGTTATTATTATTATTTAATAATATGCTCTAAGAGTTTTCAGCATAATTATGACAATGGTGTACCTTTTGGCGGTGTTAAATTCTTCTGGTTTACAGGGGATCCAGATTCCTGTTTTTGCTGAATGTAATTCAGTAGCACCTTCGCTGCTAAGTCACCTTTTGAGCTGACATGGTCAAGCAGACACCTTGCCTGATTGATATGTGAATAGCAACAGAGATTGTTTAAATGAATTTTTTTATAGTCTGGAAGATAGAGTTATTTGCTGTCATGCAAAGAGTTAAATAAGAAGACTGATGTCATTCTTATGCCTGTATGCCAAGTATGAAGCCATGCTTCAGCAGATGGTTTACTTTATTGCACAAATATTGGAAACAGGGAAATAACCAGCCAAAACACAGCAAAAAGTGGAAAACTCTACCTACGAGCACCTCTAAAACTCAGTGACCTTAGTTACTTCCAGTCTTTATGTTGAGCTAAGCTAAGCAGGCTGGTGTTGCTAAATTACTGCACAGACATGAGAGTGGCATTCATCTCCTCATGTAACCCAAAGCAAATCAAAAAAAAGGTGAATACATACATTTCTGAACATATTAAACTATTCCTTAAAAATTAGCACTGGTTCAAATGCATTTCATAATAATATAAAATAGTAATTTTAAGTAAATAATTTGACTGAACAATAAATGTTATAAATAAAACCAGAAAGAGTATCAGTTGGTTTTGTAATATCCCATGTTGTCAGTAATGAATGGTGAAACTAAACATCAGTTTCATTCCAAGACAACTGAAGTACAATAACAGAAAGTTGTCAAGTTTAATAATGTAAAACCGGGGCTGTTTACAATACCTGCTGAGAGGGGGTGTGTATAGGTCGTCGCACTTCATCGCAGTCTCTCGAAGTAAATTGTCCTTCTACAACCAGAGCTTGTAGAGCACCATTAATGCAGCTTTGTAGCTTGCTGACAAGGCTTGGTCTTTGAGTCAGAAGCATCTGAGTGGTGGATGTGCTCTGTGCTTCTTTTTCTTTTATATTTGGAGAGCATCCTGAGAGGGAGAGGCCAGTTTCCTGTGCCTCAGGCAGGACCTGTTTGAGAGCAGCAAGGAAGAGCCCACAAGAATCCAAACCTTTTGTATAAAGCAGGTCGAGCAACTGTCTGGCATTTGTAAACAGTGGCCTACCCGGAACCTGTATGTTCTGATAGTCCTCCCATGTGAGCTCCCCTTGGGCCAGCAGTATATCCAGAACCCTTTCCAGATGTTCAGCTGACCCACTGCTGCACAGCGCATGCAGTATCTCTGTTCGTTGTTTTAGCACAAACTCCTGGGCAAACATGCTTTCTGACTGCCAGCGTCCGTATTAAAAGACATCCAGTGTGAAATTCTGCTGCTTCCAGTATCACAACCTGTCACAGAAAACATACACATCATCATGCTGTCATTTTGTTAGATAACAAAGAACAGAATCAGTATCCTTACTAACACTGTAGCTATTCATACACACTGAGCTTTTGTGTGTGTGTGTGCGTGTGTGTGTAGGCCTATATTGTATTAAAACATGTAGAAACACACAAAAATGAAACTAATGTAGGAAACACACAGTAAGGCATTATAAAATTATCACTCACATTGGAGTCTCTACACCAGAGCACTTTCTTTCCTGCATCAGTCATCTGGGCAGAAAAACTACGCTACTTTAGACCTACGCCTTTCTTTTTCAACAGCTCAAAGTGAAACTGAAACTTGTTCTTCTTCCAAGTCCCTCCTGTTAAATAGAAAAAAAATCTAAATCTCCAACAGTAAAATTATACCAGCTTGTCATGTACTGTAATACATCTATAAATACATATTTAAAATAAAACAAATGCAATGTTTCTTTGAAGAGAAGTAGTTAATTTCCCCACATTTACAGGAAATACCATTAGGGGAAAACTGCACGTTGAGGTTGTTTGTTCCATACTGGTTGCAGTTTTGTTATACAGCCACTTGATGGAACTATTGCAAAAAGAAAGCAGCCTGGCCATTCAAGAGGCTGGGACTTTCTTCCCTTTGTGCTACATTTCTTTACTTCTTTTTAACTTCCATCTCAGCCTACCCACATCCACAAACCCTAGCTTGTGCAAAACGTACAACTGATTTTGATGGTTTTATTAAGAAATCCACTGATGCTTTTATGAGTAGCACTTGAAGGAGCTGTTGGAAATAATAAGAAAATGCGATCATCTTAATATGGTAATAATTCAACAGTATTAAAACAATAATAATATTGTAGCTACTAAGAAACTGCAGCAAAGCCATTGTGCTGGGTATCACTTTATAAATTGCAAAAGAAATATAAAACACTACCTTGCAAACAATTTCATGTTGTGATTGCATCCCTTGTATTCTTTGATGTCAAGATAAAATATGTGCAAGAATGACTTTCTAGACAGTAAGATGATTTATATTTACTATAGCTCCCTCCTGAGTACTATGATTAGTTTATTGTGTACCTTCAGTGTGCCCTGTGGGGGGAAATCCTCAAACACACAAATGCAGGAGTAATCAAAGACAGACTCAAATAAAAGTTCTTATTCTTCTTGTGTAAGAAACAGGCATCTTCACCAAGGTGAGTGGAATATAGAGTACTCTCCGTCAGGCATCTGACATGAACGTCTAATGTGGGGCTCTATCATCCAAATCACAGTAGGGTGTCCAGACAAGTCTGGATCGCTAAGAAAGAGGGTAAGAAATTGTCAGTAAAAACAGATTGATATAGTCCCAAAAGACATCTGTGAGTATTTCTGTTCTCCAACAGAATTCATACATGTGTCATGTGTGACAGCATAAAAATTATGTGACTCCAGTTTAATGCATTTCAGCCTCCTAATGAAGAACTTCCTAAATAGTAGTAGTAGGTAGTAGTTAAGTTCCTCTGTTTTGCAGAAAATTAGGGTGTAAGGTAATATTCCCTTTTTCACACTTGGTGTGGAAAGTTAAGTTTTGCTCCCTATAGAGTCAGTTCAACTCTGTGTACTCCTCTAAAACAGTTGATTCCACTAAATAACCACCAAATCAGCTGTACAGTATACTACTGTATATGTCAATGGATAATAGTTCATTCCCTCTTGCATAGCTGAGCTGGAATACTTTGGCTCCAGTCATGTCATCACTGCATGTTCTCTGTGCAGATATCAAAACCACATGTGGTGAACAGATTATTAGACCAGGTGCACTGATGTACTGTATGTGTACTGACTGGCTTGCTAGAAACTCAAAACTCCCAGAGGCAAATCTGCATCTCTCATTTTCTATGCAGTAAATCTACAGGAAAGTAGTTACACATAGCCAGTTATCCTCATATTCAGAAATTATTTTTTATCTTTTGATACTTGCAACCTTAAAAGAATGCACTGTCCTGCACAGAGAGTTGTGCCATGATGAGATCTAGATATTGCACAAAATAACATAATTAAAGATTCAATTAATCAGTCATCCCCCCCCCCAAAAAAAGAAACTTTAGTTCATCCTTGTAAAGGACATTACACATGACAACACATAGTAACAACATATTCAAATAGCCATGAAAACAAATCGGGCAGCACGGTGGCGCAGTGTTAGCACCGTTGCTTCACAGCGAGAAGGTTCTGGGTTCGGGCCCCACCCAGGACCTTTCTGTGTGGAGTTTGCATGTTGTGCTTGTGTGGGTTCTCTCTGGGTACTCTGGCTTCCTCCCACAGTCCAAAGACATGCAGCTTCGGTTGATTGGTGTCTCTAAATTGCCCGTGTGTGTGGTTGTTCGTCTCTGTGCTAGCCCTGCGATGGATTGGCGACCTGTCCAGGGTGTACCCCGCATTCGCCTGATTGCTGGCATGAAAACAAACCAGTCATTATGCATTTTTCAATTAGCTGATCAACTGATCTTAAAGGATAAGTTCACATTTTTTCAAGACTATACTAATACATTATACACACACCCAAATATGTATTGAAAGAGCTATTTGTTGTATTCTAGTATAAGATATAAGGGGACAAAATACACAGTCCTCATTCTGTGCAAAAATGCTAAGTTAAAGTTTTTATTACTTGTGTGTAGTCTCTGTGCTAGCCCTGCGATGGATTGGCGACCTGTCCAGGGTGTACCCCGCATTCGCCTGATTGCTGGCAGTGTTGTGATGACTATATATATTTATTTATCAGAATACAACTAGAAAATATAGGAACATGTACAGTATAAAAAAACAGAAAAATATCAGGCAAACTAAATACTCCAGATGTGTTATTCAAGCTGTTCAAAGGAAATGTGAAGAATCTGGAGAGGACGAAAACAAGAGTGGAAGACCAAGAAAACTGTCAGAATCTGATGAGAAGTTTCTTTGAGAGATCGGAGGAAATCCAGTAAAGATTTGGCTCAGCATCTGGCAGCTTCAACTGGACGCCAAGTTGATCCTTCCGCAGTCCAAAGAAGCCTGATCAGGAACGGCCTTTGTAAAAGGACAGCAGCCAAGAAACCACTTTTCAGAAGGGGGACTGGAAGAGAAGGCTGAGAAATGCAAATGCTTACAAAAACTGGAGTGAAGATCAGTGGAAAAGAGTCTTACGGAGTGATGAATGGAAGTTTGAAATGTCCGGGTCCAATCGTTGACAGGATGTGAGAAGAGTTAGAGAGAGGTGGAGGAATGAGTGGTGCAGCTTTCAGTGAAACATGATGGAGGGTTTGTCATGGTTTCAAGACTTCAAGACTGTCTCCCCAAAAGAATTCAAGCTGTGTTAAGTGCAAAGGGAGTCACACTACATCCTGAGTTTGGACTGTAGAAGCCACTATTCCGAAAATTTAGTTTTTCACTATTGTGTACATTTTTCCTGTAATTTCCAGTTATATATCTCAATAAAGAGACTGAAAAAAAAATATAAATTATCCTTACAGCCTTACTAAAACAGCAAAACTAATAGTGGCCTAAGACCTTTCCAACTAGCTTTCCACTAACTAGCTTTTTACCCTTCTTATTGTTGGTGTAAATGTTTTCCTCAGTTAGAAGAAAGATGGGCCTATACTGTATAAAAGATACTTTAGTAATTTTAACATGCTAGCAAATACAGTAGTATATATTTGGGTGTCATATGTATGTTTGTCACTGAATCAGAATGAAGGTTTGATGCAGTGTTTGCTGTTATGTTCTGAATGGTTCTGTTACTGTATATAGAAAATTTCAAAGGGTAGCTAAAGCTTCACAATAATATTTACTTGATCTTCATTTATAGGAAACTTACACTAAGTACACATCAGTGCAGGCATTCAAAGTGACTCATAAAGATTATCCATCCATCCATCCATTTTCCTCCACTTATCCGGGACCGGGTCGCGGGGGCAGCAGTCTAAGCAAAGATGCCCAGACTTCCCTCTCTCCAGA